ATCCCCAGAGGGTCCCAGCCTCGCTTTTTAATTTAGCGCTTCAATACTATCCTCACTTCTCCATTTTGGTAATAAAGCATCTTGTCCCCACCCCCATCCTGGGAGCAGCAGGCATGAGACACAAGGGTTTTCTTGTCTTCGCCATTTAACAAATTGTTACTGTGTTCCTACTATGTGCTGGTTTTCATTGTAAAATATACATACCATGGAATATACCATCTAACCATTCTAAGAGTGTTATTCAGTCGTGTTAAGTATATTCGCATTGTTGTGCAACGAATCTCTGGAATTTTTTTTTTAATCAGGCACAACTGAAACTCTACAGCCATTAAACAACCACCCGTTTTCCCCAAACCCTCAGCAATCACTGTCCCACTTTCTGTCCTTATAAATTAGACACCTCTAGGGACCTCATACAAGTGAATTCATACAGTATTTGTCTTTTCAAGTCTGGCTTCTTTCATTTAGCACAATGTCCTCAAGGTTTATCTAGGTTGGATCATGTGTCAGGATTTCATTCTGTTTTAAGGCTGAATAATATTCCACTGTATGTATAGATCACATCGCTTATCCATTCAGCCACTGATGGACCTCACGCATGGCATTGGAAAATGTCACAGCTTGGGTTGCTAGGATGACAAGAGTCACAGGTACACTCTCTACCTTTCAACATTCAACAAGGAAGCCACTGAAAGCCCAGAATACAGTCTTTTCTGCCAGGAAAGTAGATGGATGAAAGGGTAGAAATCTTTTCAAACGTTAGGTGGAGGGCGCCTGGGTGGCTCAGTTGGTTAAGCATCCAACTCTGGGTTTCAACTTAGGTCATGACCTCGTGGTTTGTGAGTTTGAGCCCCCCACCCCCACCCCGCCCTGGTCAGGCTCTGTGCTGACAGTGCAGAGCCTGCTTGATTCTTTCCCCACCCCCCCGCCTTCCTGCCTCTCCCCTGCTTAATCTTTTTTAGAAAAATAAAAGTTAGGTGAGATCCCAGACTTTAAATCCACTTCCCTAAAGGACAGACCAGACCAGTTCTACTCAAAGCACTGCTGTTAAGCTGCACATCACTCTAAGAGAGAGAGTTTCTGGAACTGAAGTCTGCTATCCTGGTCTCTCTCAGCACACTCACTAATTCTGACTCTTTAATGGCGACCACAGATGGGACACCTTAGTTGTACAACTGTGGCCAGAGAGGCTTTACGGGATGGATTTAGGGAGATGACCTCTTTGGAGGTGTGATTACCTACTGAAAGTTTATGCCAAGTCTCAGGACAGACTTCAGTAAAACACGTGGGTTTGGTTTCGTCACAGAACAGCATACACACACACACACACACACACACACACACACACACACACACACCAGCTTTCTTAGGTCTGAATCGACTACCCAAGTCCTCACATCACAGGTGGGAAAATTAAGGCTAACGGCACAGGCCAGTGGTTGCTCTTAAGGCCACAGGGGAAGGAGACATTAAAACCAAAAACTGTTTGCTCAGTTTGGGCACTGTTCACTCATTTCTGCCGTCAGCATCTCAAAAAGCTACAGTTTTCAGTGTGATCGGTGTTAAGACCACATACGGTCATCACCATCGACTATTTACTGAGTGGCCTCGAAAAGTTCAAGCAGGGTTTTCGCTCATCCACCTCGTGTTCATTAATTATGCCTCTGCCTCTTGGTCACACAGATCTTGCTGGGCCAGAAATACAACCATTCTGTTGACTGGTGGTCCTTCGGCGTTCTCCTCTATGAGATGCTGATTGGGCAGTCACCTTTCCACGGGCAAGATGAAGAGGAGCTTTTCCACTCCATCCGCATGGACAATCCCTTTTACCCCCGATGGCTTGAGAAAGAGGCGAAGGATCTTTTGGTGAAGGTAAGAAGTGAAGCCAAGGAGACTCTGTAGAATTAGTATTGGGTATTCTGATCGGTTCTCCCATTCATTTGTAGGTTCTGATTTATACGTGGTAAACAATAGTCATCTTGAACTCGATTTAAATGGGATTCTCACCATGTATTTCAACTGAGGCACCAGTAGGATGGACGTTAGATACCAAAATGAGAAGATAAACGTTCATGTGCCTGGTTTACATAAGAAATGCCCAGGAACCAGTTCCATGACTCTTGAAACCCTTACTTTGAGAGGAAATTGGCCCACTGACAAGCCCAGTTTGTAGCTGAGAACTCAGCCTTTGGCTTCCCATCATGCCCATTAAGCCTACTCAGGCCAGTTCATCTTCCCCTTCCCACCTGGACAGAATGCACAACTCTGCAGCCAAACACAAACCTCACATCACCCCTAGGCCATAAAACACGGTCTCAGTTGAGAAGGTAACACTGTTCAGCCCGTGGAAGAAGTCAGCAAGTCAACCAGATCTCTAAAGCCAAGACTTCTAATCCCTCTTCTCCGCTCAGATTCAGGGCTGGTGGCCACTCACTTTGGGAGAAGGGAATGTGGTCATGTTGTGGCCAACTGTGTCCTGTTCTCTTCCTCTCCAGCTCTTGGGTCTCTGCTGCAGACCAGACCAGGTTAAAAGCAGGGAGAGGACAGAGGAGTAAGAAGGAGAAACCGGTGTTCTTTTATGGCTGGGTGGCTTCATGCTTGGAGTCCGGTGGTTTGTGAAAGCCAGAACTTCTGTGAGACATTCTAGTAGGTCTTTTGGAAGGAAGAACTGGTCACCGGGGATGTTTTTGGCCAAAGCCCTTGACACACAGGCCATTTGTTCAGTCCGTTCCCTGGCCCAGATACTATACCAAACTCCATTTCACAGCATTCCATCTCACAGAGACCCTCACTGCTCCCTGCCTGAGAGGGCCCCTTCAGCAGTATTTAAAATGCTGCAGATCACATCCCCCTCCCATGTCCACTGGAAACACTGATGCATCTTTCACCCTGTAACTCAGAATTCAGACTGTCACCATCCCTGCAGAATTCGCCTTCAAAGCAAGACTCACACCCCGGTCCACGACGGTCCAGGCTCAGGGGAGAACTGAGTGTGTTACAGATGGAAACCGGGCTCTAAGAATCACTTGCCATGAACCAGGAGCTCCCAGGGAAAGCCAATGGAGAGACCTAAGCAGCACCTGAGAGCCATCATTAAAGATTGGGGTTATAGGCAGAGTCCTGGTTTCCCTCTGTTGAGGACACAAATTAACACCCACAGTGTGAGTACAAAAAATAAGTCACGGTAGTGCAACGTGCTCTTACATATAATAACAACGACCAGCACTCACTGAGCTGTCCCAGCAACTGTTTGGATCAAGGAGATACACCGAGGTGATCAGGAAGCAAGCAAATCTAAAAGAAGTGGACCAAGAGCACAGGTGTTTTGAATTTGGGCGTCTCCTATTTCAGCTGGCTTTAAAAATGATTTAGGAAAATAATTTTCAGTCTTGCTGTCTTTATATTGAAAAGGGGGAGCAAAGAGTAAGACCTTTCAACATTAGAAGCTTTCGGTGGATTTTAAGGGTTTTTTTTTTTAACATTTATTTATTTTTGAGAGAGAGAGAGAGAGAGAGAGAGAGAGAGCGTGAGCAGGGGAGGGGCAGAGACAGAGGGAGACACAGAATCTGAAGCAGGCTCCAGGCTCTGAGCTGTCGGCACAGAGCCCAATGCGGGGCTTGAACCCACAAACCGTGAGATCATGACCCAAGCCGACACTGGACGCTTAACTGACTGAGCCACCAGGCGCCCCAGTGGATTTTAAATCTAAAAACAATTACCAGGCCCATCTTGTTGCACAAGTCTACTTTTTACTCATGAACTACCTGGACTTAAAGGGCACCCACTTCTCCTGCTCTAATACGACCGGCAACTTGTCCAGAGTCTGAGATGCTAAGGCAACTCCGCAGCCCTCCCTCAGGAGTCCAGTGCGGAGAGAGCCCCCCCAGGACACCCCACCCAAGGCTGATGGCATTGCAAGTCTGAGCCACTTCAACTCAGCTTTCTGTTTCTGTTATCCAAAGAAACCACAAACCTAGAAAACTCTCGGAATGACCCATTAAACACACTTTCAATGAATGAACAACACACCTATAAAATGAAAGCTGATTTCAAAATTAACCAATTAAGAAGATGACAACAGTAAAAATTATCAGGATTGGGATGGAAGCAGTGTTGCTTTACGCAAAGGCAAGTTGAGACATTATTATAGTTGCTGCATGGGTTTTACACGGACTGGACACGTGGGCTCAAGGTGAGGTATGATTAGTTGGCTCCAGCTGCTGTAACAAAATATCACAGACTGAGGGGCTCACCCAACAAATTTACTTACAGTTCCGGAGGCTGGGAGTCCAAAGGCAAGGTCCAGCAAGGTCGGTTTCTGGCGAAGGCTTTCTTCCTGCCTTGCAGACAGGTGCCTCCTTGCCGCATCTTCACTCACACACGGGCAAAGAGCTCTCTGCTGTTTCCTCTTATAAGGACTCTAATCCTATTGGATCGGGCTCCCACCCACATGACCTCATTTAACCGTAATTACTTGTTTCCTGCAAGTTCACGCGCATGGGGGGTAGGGCTTCGATGTGTGACTTTTGAGGGGACATGCTTCAGTCTCGTAGTGTGGGGGTGCACTGAAAAGGCCTGGGCCAACGAAACCCCCCAGAAGGGAATAAGGAAACAGCTCGGGGGCTGCCTGGAGGCAATCCACCTTTACCCCTTGATGTTCCGTGAAAGCTCAACCAGCTATGCTTCCAAACCCAGTGCCGCCTCGGGATGTGGGGGGGCTCACGGCCAGGAGGGAGGGTGAAGGAGTCACGGGGCCAGGTGGAGTTCATCAGAAGTTAATGCTGGAAGTGACGGTTTTTCACAGGAGAGAAAGACGGTGTGGGAAGAAGGATCAGTTCCAGGTAGAGAGGAAAGATGACAAGTCACATACAAGGAATATTACTCAGCAAGAAAAAGGAAGGAACGGTTATCGATCTACAAAACAACCTGGGTGGATCGCAAGGGTGTTGTGCGGAGTGAAAAAAGGCCAGTCTCCAAGGGTCACATACTGTGAGTCCACTTGTGTAACCTTCTCCAAAGGGCAGTGTGGAGATGGAAATCAGATTAGTGGCAGTGGGGGCTGGGGAGAGTGGAGGCAGGACAGCGACTGTAGAGGGGGATCCCAAGGGACAGCTTTGTGTTGACGGGACGGATCTGTGTGCACGGTGGTTACCCAAATCTACGCATGGGATAAAATGACAGAGAACTAGACACACACATTGTATCAATGCTGGCCTCCTGCTTTTGGTGTCGTTCTCTAATTATAAAAGACATAGGCATTAGGGGAAGCTAGGTGACAGGGACACAGGACACCTGTACTAGCTTTTAACATCCTGTGAATTGATATGTATGGACTGAATGTGCCGGCCCCAAATCCTATGTTGAAGCCGTAACCCCCAAAATGATGAGGCCTTTGGGACATAATGAGGCAGAGATGACATAATCAGGGTGGGGTCACCACAGTGGACGAGTGCCCTTATAAAAAGACGAAGAGAGAGCTATCCCCCCACCTCCAAGTGCATGCACCAGAGGAAGGCCATGTGAGGACACAGCAAGAAGGCGGCCACCTACACGCCAAAAAGAGGGTCCTCGCCAGAAAGTGCCCACACAGGCACCTTGATCTTGGACTTCCAGACTCCAGAACTGTGAAAAATAAATGTCTGTTGTTTAAGACACCACTCAGTCCGTGTCATTTTGTTATAGCAGCCCAAGAAGACTAAGACGCTGTGATTGTTTCAAAATAAAAAGTTTAAGAACAAAATACAGTGTAAGGGTTAATGCCAGCAAATACCAAAACCAAAATCATGTGCACTTTCAATAGCGGGAAAAAGATTTGCTAGAAGAATAGAAAATAAATCTGGCTGAACAGAGCAGAAACCAAGACAAGCAAGAATAAAAAGTGGGAGAGAGTGGGACTCGTTGGCGAAAGAGGTCTTAAATCCACGTGGAGGAGACCGGGCTTATCCTTTCCCGTAGGTGTTGGTAAAAATTCCATCTCCTTGCCCCACAAGGAAGGTAGTCCTCTGCCATGTTCTAGAAGGAAGGCTGATAAAAATTAGTCTCCTCATGCAATTTGCTCACAAGAACATGGCTTCTAGTTTCATCTCTCCTCCTGGTTTGCTCTATAACTTTGGTCCCACTGGCCCCCTCATCCTTGAGTTCCGTTTTCTGCAAAAATCAAAGGTAGCATCATTTCTGAGAAACTTCCTGTAGAGAATTATAATGTAAAACCCAGAAGTAATGAGTCCTCTAAAAAAAAAAAAAAAAAAGGAATCTGTTACAGCAGCTGCATCAATATCACTCTCTGTTCCCTTTAGTCCTCACAGCACATAGATGCAGGTAGTGCACTGAACAACTGTGCACAAGAGGCTGTGCTGCATCATGAATTGCAACTGGGACACCGCTGTTCAGTTGAGTCTTGAAAAGAAACACCCCTTTCTCCCTCATGTATTCATCCAGGATGTCCCGTCCATTTGTTTGGAAACGGGCGGAAAACGAAAGATCCCAAACAGAAGCACCTCTCCCTTCTGTAGAAAGATATATCTGTGCAGGGAATGAAGAGGGGAGAAGACCCCTCTCCAGGGACAGGGGCTAAGCGCTGGTGGCCCTCCTCAGCCGCCCAGCACGGCTCCCCAGCCCAGACAGTCGAGTAAATTCAAACAAACGACAGCTGCATCCTGGCCATTCGTGTACGAGGTGTGCTGTTTCCTGTTAATGTAAACCGCCCTCTGACAGCTTCTATGAACAAAAGCAAGTCTTTCTTCATGAACACGGAGTCCCTTGGTGCAGCTTCTCCAGCACAGAGCCGATGGCCTCCCGCAAGGTCACCAGACCTGGAAAGGGAGGGGGGGGGCGTGCTTTGATGCAGGGGACAGAAGACAGTAACTCACTCTTGTGCAGGACGGGAAAGAAATCTGAGTCTCAAACATAAGGTCATGTTATATTCTCATTACATATTTTATCTTTGAAAGTATATTTTTTTAAATTTCACAGGTACATGGGTCAGTCTCAGAAGGCTCTGTCAGGATGCTCTAGGTACAAACGACACATGGTCCTGGAAAAATTCAACAGGAAACAGCATGGTCTGCACTTGGCATAGGGCAATCACTCCTCACTGTATTCAGTAAAGCCTTTCATTATAACTACGTGAGCTAGAGACACTCCCACCTTCTCTCTCATCTTGTTTCATGAAAACGTCCTTAAAAAGTAGGGGCCAGTAAGGTGTGATGATCGTTTCTAGGCAAGTCACTTATTCCCTCTGCTTCTAAAGAATCAGTCTGCTTTTCCATCTGTTGGCCTCCATTGGTGTTCGAGTCTACAGAAGAAAAATTTTACTGTGAATTTGGTGCCTTTTCTATGTGCCATTATATATGCTGAAGACGAGATTCTGGCTGAAGGTGAGGACTGAAGATCTATGGTCTGCATGTAATAAAGTAGAAAGACAACTTGCTCACTTATTTAACAAACATTTATCGTGCATCTACTTTGTGCACAGCACTGTGCTAGGTTCTGTAAGAAAGAGAAACATAAGTGGGGTTTGCCCTCCATAGCTTACACTCTACTAAAAAAAAAAAATACTCTTAAAAATACTCTTGGGGCAACCGGGTGGCTCAGTCAGTTGAGCATCCGACTTTGGCTCAGGTCATGATCTCATTCGTTCCTGAGTTCGAGCCCCGCGTCGGGCTCTGTGCTGACAGCCCAGAGCCTGGAACCTGCTTTGGATTCTGTGTCTCCCTCTCTCTGCCTCTCTCTCTCTCTGTCTCTCTCTCTCTCTCAAAAATAAAAACGTTAACAAAATACTATTAAAAATGATAGACAGATACCTTCTTTAATGGAGGGAAGATATTCAGATGTCCTATGGAGCCCAGAGGAGAGACTAAAGAGGCTGTTTATAATTTGGGCTCTACCCCTGGCCAGACCTGTGATCTTGAGCAAGTTATTTAGCTACTCTGAGCCCCCGTGTCCTTAACTGATGATCGGGACAGTGATCTCTGCTTTTAGAATCTGTCTTCAAAGTCAGGCCAATACGGCGGAGGCATCTGGCACTACTCCTGACTCTCAACGCTGGTTGGGATAAGTCACAGAACCAACCATATGACAATGAGTATGAGTTGAAGGGCAGGGAGGGCTCACCAGGCGTTGAGGGAGTCAAAGAAAGCTTCACAAAGAAGGAGGAACATAAGCTGAACCCTGAGTGATGGGCTGGGATTGAAAGCTGAGGTGAAGGAAATGGCAAAATGTGGGGAGACGTATCTCCTCACAAGACGGAGATGTCCATAGCGAAGGACAGAGGTGGGAAAGGCAGGTGGCGTATTCAGTGAGTAGACACGTCTGGACAGAAGAGAGGGTTACAGTGGGGACAGCAGGATGTGTGTCTGCAGAGGCCACAGAGAGCCTGGGATGACCAGCCAGGCTCAGAGGATGTTAGGACTCACCAGGGCATAGAGATGACCTTGCCTCACCCTGAATTCTCCAGGGGAGGAAATGGAGACTCGGAAAACCTTCACAAGGCCACGTGGGTAGGAAGTCTCTTGGGTGACAGCCTCATGTTAGTGGTTTTTCTAACAGAGCTTGGGAACATCAGGTTTCCATAGAGAGACCTCAGCCTCCACCGTATGGTAAAGTGGGACAGCTGACCGTGTGGCTGCACTAGCTGGTTACATGGGTATTCCACCTGGACTTTTAAAAAGATTATCCTGATTTTTAAAAAGAAGAAAAAAATCTCCACTTCACTACAGCACGTTGTGTTTTTTTTCTTCTTTTGGTTTTGGGTTTTTTGGGGGGCCTTTCAGTAGAGTCTTTGAAGATTTTCAAGTAGGAAGGTAACATAAGTAAGGCAGTGTTTGGAAACACATAGACTGGCTATTCTTACAAGAGATAAAAGCAAGAGATCTCTGTAATTTAGTTGTTACCGGAGGTCCGGTCCTGCCAGAGCCTCGTGGAATATCCCTGTTTCAGAGACCCCACGGTGTCCTTATGAACACCCTATAGCTAGAAGTTACTCTATAAACAAACATCGAGCTGCGGGATAAAAAAGGGGTAACTACTTCAGGCACTTGGGACCCGTGACTCCCCAGGTCTCGTGTTTGGACTCTCCTATTCCGTACTGCCCTTGACCCGTTGTGTTGGAGTTTGAAGAGTTTCCAAGCTCCTTTCCTGTCCTGGCCAAGGTTCAGCGTGACCTCATAGTAACAGGAGAAGGAACAGTGCAAAGAAGAAAATATATCTGTAACAGACCAGAGGTCAATAAAGAGGATTTGAATTAAGTATTACTTTACCAGCGGGTTTGCAGGAAGCAGAAATGATTCTCACTACTCAGACGCCTTATCCAAAGCTGACCGTCAGGGACTAGTTTATAGGATATCATCAAAGCAACACTGTTATCCTTTGAAGGCAGCTTTGTAGGAAATCAAAGTCAGTTAATGGGCTGTCAACCCAGCAACAAATAAATTGATCACTTATTCTCTGTTGTTGGGTTTTACAGACCACGAATCACTGCATACGTGCGTGTGCGCATGTGTGTGCGTGTGTGTGCATGCATGTGTGTGTGCGCGTGCGTGTGTGTGTGTGTGTGTGTGTGATTTCATCTCACGCACAGAACCGCCCTGCGGGAAGGATACTTCATTCACTTTACAGGGGACGGCACAGACTCAGACTCCTGCAACTTGCCAGAGGTCCCGTAAATAATACAAGGCAAAGCTGATTTCAAAACCGGTCTATATCACTCAAGAGACTGCATTTCTAGGGCCAGGAGCAAGGGAGCAAAAACCCAGACCCTGGAATATTCAGAAGGCTCATTTGAGGGAGAGTGCTGTCACCAGTTTGGAGACAACAGTTGATACTCGAGAGTGGAAAAATCGGGTTAGAAAAGCCTCAAAAAGCAGTCTTGACCTCGTGACTTGCGCCTCACACACTATGAAATGCAGCCTCGTCTGAGGCTAACCGGCTGGTCCCCTGGGAAGTAACTGTTTTCTTTCTGCCGCTTCTCAGCTCTTCGTGAGGGAACCTGAAAAGAGACTAGGAGTGAGGGGAGACATCCGCCAGCATCCTTTGTTCCGGGAGATCAACTGGGAAGAGCTTGAAAGGAAGGAGATTGACCCACCGTTCCGGCCTAAAGTGGTAAGGACCCTCCCAGGATCATTTGGTTCCAGCTTGGCTCTCGGGCTGCCTGCCTGCCCCTCACCCCTGCTTGAGCCCCTACCTTCCCTCCGGGGTGCAGTTCTTGGAGGAAAGTGCTTCTTTAACCATAATTCAGGTTACCTGGCTGGGAGTGGGGGGGATGGAATGCGGGGGGGATGTTACTCTTGTTTTGCAATATCTAACCTGTGCGATGAAAATGTACCTGCATGAAAAATGAATTGCTGGGCGCATGCCTCAGACGTAACCTGCATGTGCCAGGTGGCTCTCTGATGAGATACGGTGCTTTTGCACAGGATGCATCCGTGCCCCATGGTCACAGATTCTGTGACCCAAACGTGTATGTGGGGGATCTTGCAACCCTCTTTTCCATGGCTATTTATTAAAGTTTGCCTGACGTTTGCAACTGGTTCACGTTATCTATATTCCCTAACGGCAATAGTTCAGTGTTACTTGGTTTAAGGAAAAAGTACATTGGGGCTGAGGAAGAGACAAGTCTCTAAATTCCCAGGTGTTTGCTCACTAGTTAAAGTCACTAACCTCCATGAGAAAAGGCACAATGACCTGTCCATGTGCAGAACCACCATAAAGCGAAGACAGAGGAAAGAAGGGACGCCCCAGGGGGCTCAGTGGGTTAAGTGTCTGACTCTCGATTACGGCTCAGGTCGTGATTTCATGGTTCAAGAGATCGAGCCCCGTGTGAAGCCCCAGGTCAGGCTCTGCGCTGACAGCTCGGACCCTGCTTGGGATTCTCTCTCTCTCTCTCTCTCTGCCCCTCCCCCACTCACATGCACGCACACGCTCTAAAAATAAGTAAATAAACTTACAAAAAAGTAAAGTGCAATTAAAATGAAAAAGCTCGGCAGACGGATGTTGGTAAGTGTGACTGCACACAGCCACTGAACCGGACTCCTAAAAATCGTTCAGATGGTCACTTTGAGGTTAGGTATATTTTACTACGGTTTTTACAATAAATAGTTTTTGGGTTTTTTTTTTTAATTTTTTTAATGTTTGTTTTTGAGAGAGAGAGAGAGAGAGAGAGAGTGTGTGTGAGCAGGGGAGGGGCAGACAGGGAGGGAGACACAGAATCTGAAGCAGGCTCCAGGCTCTGAGGTGTCAGCATAGAGCTCGATGCGGGGCTGAACCCACGAGAACATGACCTGAGCCAAAGCTGGATCTCAACCGACTGAGCCACTCAGGCGCCCCAGCACTTTGCCTGGCTTTCACCAGTGGTGACATTTTGCCAAGATATGAGTGTTTTGTTTTGTTTTAATTTTTAAATGTTTTTATTTGCTTGTGAGAGGAAGTGGGGGAGGGACAGAGAGAGGGAGACCCAGAATCCGAAGCAGGCTCCAGGCTCCCAGCTGTCGGCACAGATTCCGACGCGGGGCTCGCACCCACGAACCGTGAGATCATGACCTGAGCCAAAGTGGGATGTGTGACCACCTCAGCCACCCAGGCACCCCTCAAAAAATAGTTGTTTTAAAGGGTAAGGCAAATGGTAGAAATGCC